AGACACTCTTTTTTAAGCTTACTAGCTATAGAATTATGTTTGCCCATCATTGCACTGCATCCATCTGCAGCAAAACCAATCAAATTCGAAAGAAGTATTGAATTATCTTTAAAAGATTTGATTATTCCTTTAAATTAGTTTTCTGCTGTTGCACCTTCATTGGCATTCACAGAATCAAAAATTTTACTCAGTTCCCAAAATCTACTGACAATTTTGTTTGAACTAATATCATTAAATCTTACTACTATACAAGATGTTTTTACACTTGATATGTTAGTCGATTCATCCGTAAGAAGGCTAAATTTAGTATTTTTTAATATTTCTGCCAATTTTTCTTTATGATATTTACCTATAACATTTACTGCAATATTAGTAGCTTTGGTTCTTTTCATTGTGATATTTTGCACTATAGGGTGATCATGACAAATATTTTTTAATAATTAAACACCAAATGATCAGCTAATCGAAATGGTAAATGTTTTGCCAAGAAACCAACTAATTTTATTTCAGTAGACATTATGGTCTTATCTATGGATTGTTTTTTACTGGTAAAGCATGAAATAGATTTTTGTTTTACAGTCATTACTTTCATTTTTTCCTTATGTCTCATACTTTGTCCATGCCGCTTAATTACTAATAAATCTGAACTCATAGAATAAGAGCAATATATACATTTTGCTTTATATTCATTATTCTCATCAGATATTAACCAAGTACTAAATTCTGATTGAGAAAGCCATTTTTTGGTAAACTTTTGTTTTTGATGTTTCTTTTTAATTAGTTTATTTTCTTTTCCTGGTGCATTGAATTCTGAATTAGATGCATCAAAACTGTATAAATATAAATATAATAATTAGATATAAGAGAAAAAACATTGTTAAATAATGATTACATATCTAAATAACAAAAATTGATAGCTCAACCATCATCAAACGTTGGATAACGATTAACCAAACAATCTATGCTATTTAAATAGTAAATTATTATACAAATACAATATTATTATACCTTTCTTCCTGTGTGGCCATATTTTCTATTAAAAAATATTCATAAACAAAAGAATATTAAATAATCTATTAATATATAAGGAATATTCTGAATGTTTGCACTGAAAATATACAGTACATAACAAAGAACACAGATTTTAGCATAACAACTTCGACAGATTAACGCGATGTAACAAACGACATGCAACGTGCGACATTCCCATGAATATATATTACATTTTTCAGAAGAGTTGCATGCTTATTGAATATTGCATGTCGTGAATTGCGCGACTGCTGGAACTTTAGTTTCAGTCCATAATGCTGCTTCAAATCCTAAACAAACTGATCAGTTAGGGCCATTGCACGTAAAAAATTTTTAGTCGTAAACGTAATTCCGTAAGAAAATTGACCAATCACAGTTGATTATTCTCCTCGCCTCCTCGAACGCGAGGAAAATAATGGCCTTTACAATCGTTTACTATAAGAATAACCGACTGTAACTGGTCAACTTGCCCACAGCCCAAAGCAAGTTTGTGGACCAAGGCTAAGGTATAGCAAGTTTTAGCAGGAAGAAACTGTCCAATCAAAATTGGTTATTTTTCTATAATTCCACTGTAATTGGTCAATTTCTTACGGCCTAAAAATCCCCACACCTAAGGTGCGTTCGGGGAACGCGCTATTAGCATTGATTAGCGCTAACGACTTGACCAATTCGCATTGGTGAATTCGGATTTTAGCCAAACATAATATAGTAGTATAAATAGTCGTACAACATTAAATAGTAGTACAATATGGCGTACGACACACCCTTTAGGTCGTATGTAGTAAAAAATATGAAATTGTCGTACAGATACGACTATAGTCGTACGTCTGGCAACACTGCATTACAGGTTTGTTCGCGTCGCGTGCTCCAATGTACACTAAGGAGTACTTGGATCACGAGTAAGATGGCGGTTGGAGCAAATGAGGTCGAGAGATCCTTTAATAAGAGATAGGACACCGCCGTCAGATCCGCTATGTTTGGGATCAAAGCGGAAGTTGACACCTATAATGTTCAAATTACTCAGTAAGCATATATGTCTACAGGCCATGTTATATCTAAGAGGTCTTTTAAATGTGTATGTTTGAAAGATCTCTTAGAGAAAACTTTAAGATATTTTTTGGACAGGACTGTACTGGATAGTAAAATAAAAACGTATCAAAAAACGTTTTAAAAGAATTCTTCCATTTATTGTTAATCTTGTTTTAATAAACACATTGAAATATGTACATGAAAAACTGCAAGATCTCGTTATTTATCGACAAAATGTGAGAAGATGAACTGGATATTTTGATCCCACAATATTGCAATATCACCAAATGTGCAAAGGACGTGCTGCAAATGACCTTATGATATAGAATGTCCTCAAGATATCTCAAGAACATTCTTTAGAAATGTTCGTTGTTTGAGTAATAAACTGGACCCGTTATTGACATCTGCAAATCAGATTGTAAATACAGTACAGAGTTAATTTCTTTATGTAAGTGTATACTTTTATTAATTACATTATTAAATAAAAAAAAAATATATATATATATATATATATATATATATATATATATATATATATATATATATATATATATATGTAATAATGTTTTTGAATAGGCCAAACACAAACTTTATTAATTCAAGAAAAACAATCAGTTAAATGAAAATATATTATACAAATAGGAAAATAAAATAATAATAATGTAACTGTTATAAAATAATATTACACTTTCTCAAAATAAAAAATATCACATTAAAGGATTAATGTATGTATTAAAAGTAAGGAAATGTTCTATTGCACTGTAGTATGCATAGCCATACTTTTGCTTGCAAAGTTTTTCTTTAAAAGTTGTGACATTTTAACTTTGGAAGATGAAATCTTAACATGTAACATATAGAATCGCAATATTATTTTTTCTTTTAAATTGACATGTTGGTAGAGAATAAATAATTTCATGAAACCGATGTATAAAAAACTGTTTTAAAGTAATGTGTTTCGGTAAGTGCACATAATTATTTTAGCTGCTTCCGCAAATATTGTAGGTATACCATTATATTTCAATTTTTTTTTCCATCTACTCTTATTCTTTCCCATTGATTATCATCAAAATGAGCCTGTAATATAAACAAGATAAAAAAATAGAATATAAAAATAATTTGAACATTATACGTGTGTAATACATACACGTTTACGTATACGATAATACACAATATAACATACTTCACATAAACGAGAATCATTTCTTGGCTGCCAGTTGGGCTGTCCAACATTTTTTATCCACAACACTGTATTTTCGTTGTTTTTTGGAAATGAACACATCTTTACTCCTTTTACAGAGCTATTTGTACATTGCTGTGCTTCACAAATTGACATTTTAATACTGCAACAGAGAACATATCAACATAACCTACAGATATATTTTTTATTTTTACCAATATTTTTATGTATTTATCTATATCTATTACATATTTTGTTT